ACCCACCCTAAACCCCCCTAAAACCCACCCTAAACCCCCCTAAAACCTCTAAACCCCATCCTAAACCCCCCTAAACCCCATCCTAAACCTCCCTAAACCCCACCCTAAACCTCCCTAAACCTCCCTAAAACCCATCCTAAACCCCTCCTAAACCCCCCTAAACCCCATCCTAAAACTCCCCTAAAACCCACCCTAAACCCCCCTAAACCCCCTAAAACCCAACCTAAACCCTCCTAAAACCCACCCTAAACCCCCCTAAAACCCACCCTAAACCCTCCTAAAACCCCTAAAACCCATCCTAACCCCCCCCCGCCACACCTGCAGCCCCTCCCTGGGGCTCTGCCCCGAGATCAGAGCTCGGCTCATCCCCCACCACCACATTTAGGACTTTTAATCGCATCATGAGCCAAAAAAACACCGGGATAACGCCGGAGGAGGTCGTGGGAATGCCCCCCGAGCACAACCGTCTAGACAGTTCCCAGGAGACCTGGAAGAGCCCTGCAGGGACCCAACCAGCTCTTCTGGACTTGGGAAAAGCCCCTTTCCCATCACCCCAGCGGGTTCCTGGATATCGGGTTAGACCTGGTTGGGAAGCCGAGCCCCTGCAGGGGAAGGATCCGGTTGTTCCCTGGGCTGGTTCCCTCTGCTAATCCCGATTTTTCCCCCCCTCTGGAGGGCTCCTGGTACCTTTTCCATCCCGGCCAGGAGCCTCTGGAGCTCGTCCACCCGCAGCTCCCTCTGCTCCGCGTCCCTCTCCGCTCTCCGCAGGGCAGAGCTCGCCCGCTCCGCCTCCTCCTGGTACTGGGCCACCGTCCTCTGGGGAAAAAAGGGGATGGGAAAGGTTTTACTTGGAATATCAGAGCCCTTGGGGGACGTTCCCAAGCCTCCCGGGGGTTCTGGTGAAGGCACCAACACCCCGACGTGCTTTGGGGATGAGAAGCCCTTCGGAAGGTTCCTGGGCTTCAAAGCACTTCAAAGGGTGGGGAGAAGCTCCAGGAGCTCCAGGGGGTTCTCAGGCTCCTCTCTGGGACCACCTGTCCCAGGGGGCCACCAGCCCCGGGTTGGGATGTGGCCGCTTCATCCAGCGCCGGGATTCGGGAGAGCTCCGGGGTCTCAGAGGGGACAGGGAGGGGTCACCAGCCCCAGGGGTGACCTTGGCCACCATCAGGAGCTCAGAGGGGACAAGGAGAGGTCACCAGCCCCAGGAAATGACCTCAACCACTGCCCACACTGACAGGAACAGCTCAGAGGGGACAAGGATGGGCCACCAGCCCCAGGGGTGACCTTGGCCACCATCAGGGGCTCAGAGGGGACAGGGAGGGGTCACCAGCCCCAGGGTGACCTTGGCCACCATCGGGAGCACAGAGGGGACAAGGGTGGGCCACCAGCCCCAGGGGTGACCTTGGCCACCATCAGGAGCTCAGAGGTGACAAGGATGGGCCACCATCCCACCAGGATGGGCCACTTGTCCAAGGAAATGACCTCAACCACTGGTGTGGAGGTGTCACCACCAGGGGTGACCAAAACCCCCCCGAAATGCCACCAAACCACCTCATTTCCTACGGGGAAGCACGGATGTCCCCCGGGGCCACCCCCCTGTCACCCCTCAAACCCACTTCCTGGGGCTGCCCGGGACCAGTTTGGCCGGTGGGACGGGACTGGGAGCGGGGGTGTCACCGCTGTCACCGGCCCTGGGGTGACACAGCCCCAGCCCCGCCCATCCGGGTCAAAAAACACACCCAAGGGGACAATTAACCCCCTTAATTGGGGAGGAGGAAGGGAGGGGAGCAGCAGGGAGAGGAGGTGGACACCTCCAGCAGCCCCAAGGTGTCCCTCAAGGCTTCAAAAAACACCGAAATAAGGCAAAATTCCCCGTTTTTTGGTCACCTCGAAGGCTTTCCTCTCCAACTGATGGCGCTTCTCGGCCTCCTGCAGCCTCCTGAGGAGCCTCCTGGCTGTTTGTTGGAGCGTCTCCACGTCCTGGCTGGAGCAGTTCTCCTCCTCCTGGGCAGGGATGAGTCGGGAAGCACAAAGGGTCCCCCACCCCAAGCGTGGGTGACACCCCGGTGACACCCCGGTGACACCCCTGTCCCATCCCCTCCTCGCCTCCCACGCTCCAGCAGCAGCTCCTCGGGATCCCAGGGGCATTCCCAGCCCTTGTTTTTGGAGGAGGAGGAGGAGGCCACTTGGGCAACCTGAAACCCGAGAGAGCGGGCCCAGCCCAAAAAATCCCAGCTCGAAAATCCCAGTCTGAAACCCCAGCCCAAAAATCCCAGCCTGAAATCCCAGCCCAAAAATCCTGGTCCAAAAATCCTGGTCCAAAAATCCCGGCCCAAAAATCCCGGCCCGAAATCCCAGCCTGAAATCCCAGCCTGAAATCCCAACCTGAAATCCCAGCCTGAAAATTCCAGCCTGAAATCCCAGCCTGAAATCCCAGCCTGAAATCCCAGCCCAAAAAATCCCAGCCTGAAATCCCAGCCTGAAATCCCAGCCTGAATTCCCAGCCCAAAAAATCCCAGTCCAAAAATCCCAGCCTGAAAATCCCAGCCTGAAATCCCAGCCCAAAAAATCCCAGCCTGAAATCCCAGTCCAAAAATCCCAGCGTGAAAATCCCAGCCTGAAATCCAAGCCCAAAAATCCCAGCCTGAAATCCCAGCCCAGAAATCCCAGCCTGAAATACCAGCCTGAAATACCAGCCTGAAATACCAGCCCTGAAATTCCAGCCTAAAAAATCCCAGTCTTAAATCCCAGCCCAAAAATCCCAGCCCAAAAATCCCAGCCCAAAAATCCCAGCCCAAAAATTCCAGCCCAAAAATTCCAGCCCAAAAATCCCAGCCTGGACCCTCTGGCTTGGACTGGATGATCCCAAGAGGTTTTTTCCCGACCTCAGGGATTCCCAAGGCTCTGTGATCCGCCCCGGAAGAGCTGGAGGGATGTTCAGGGAGATTCCTGTTATCCCTCAAAAGCTCTGGGATGTTTTTTAAGGAGGGGTAAAACCCCCAAAAAGTGCATTTTTATCTATAAAATGGAGCCTTTTTCCATTTCTAACCTGACCCTGTTTGCTGCAGGATCAGGCTCAGCCTCAAAGCCACGACAAAAACATGAAATTAAACCAACTTTTCCCAAAATCATGGAATATTTGGCCAGAAGGGGCTTTTCCCAGGTCGCCCCAAGCCCCGCCTCCCACCCAACCTTGAGCATTCCCAGGGACGAGGCTGAAATTCCCGAAATTCCCGAAATTCCCCCCTTTTCCACTCCGTACCTGCTCCTCCAGGGATTCCCCCAAATTAAACCGATTTTTCCTAAAATCATGGAATATTTGGCCGGAAGGGGCTTTTCCCAGGTCGCCCCAAGCCCCGCCTCCCACCCGACCCCGAACATTCCCGGGGACGAGGCTGAAATTCCCGAAATTCCCTCTGTACCTGCTCCTCCAGGGATTCCCCCTGGAGCCTCTCGGGGCAGGACCAGCTCCCGTTGTGCTGCTCCAGCTCCACCTGCACAATTCCAAGGACACGGAGACGTCGGGAATTCCGGCGGCACCTCCGGAATGACTCAAACCCTGCGGACAAACCTTCACCCAGAGCCCTTCTCTGCCCGACTCCTCCTGCAATTTGGGCCTCAAAAACATGGATTTAACCCACCACAAACCCCCTCCTGGAGCGTTTTCCCGAGGGAATTCCGAGCCCCCCGTTACCTGTGGGATCTCCTGAGCTCCTTGTCTGTTCTCCAGGTTATTACTCAAGTCCTCCCGCAGCTTCTTCAAAGCACTTCTGGCCTGGAAAAGGCAACGGGAATTCAGCTGGAAAAAGGGTCCCATCCCGGGATATTCTCCTCCTAAATTTAAACTGATTTATTTCCCCTTTTTCCCCTTTTTTTTTAAGGTCAAACTGCCCATCCCAGGACATTCTCCTCCCTCCAAATTTAAATTGATTTATTTCCCATTTTTCCCACATATTTAAGGCCAAACTGCCCAGCCTGGGACAGGCTCCCATATTCCAATTTAAATTGATTTATTTCCCATTTTTCCCACGTATTTAAGGCCAAACTGCCCATCCCGGGACCTGCTCCCAAATTCCAATTTAAATTGATTTATTTCCCATGTTTTTTCCGAGACACTTCCCCCTCTTCCCAAAATCATTCCCAGCAGGAGCCGAGGAAAGGGTTAAAATTCCCGCCTCCTCCTCCTCCTCCTCCTCCTCCTCCTCCTCCAGTTCCCTTTGGGACATTCCAAGGAAACATTCCAAGGAAACTGCCTTTTAACCGTCGGGGTGGGGCCCGGGAGCGCCTGGGGGGGAAAAGGCACCGCAATTCCCGAGCAATTCCCGAACAATTCCCGGCCAATTCCGCCCCGGAGCCGAGCAATTAGTCAGGCGGGGACTAATTGATGGCCTTGATTAGAGCAGAGGCAACAAACACCGGGATGATCCCAAGGGAATTGGGATGTTCCCAAGGGAATCGGGGAATCCCGGACCTCCTGGGATGGGAATTACCTCGGGAATTAGGGAATCTTGGTCCCCCTCGGATGGGAATTACATCGGGATGATCCCAAGGGAACTGGGGCATCCCAGACTCCCTCAGATGGGAATTACCTCGGGAATTGGACCCCCTGGGATGGGAATTACCTCGGGATGATCCCAAGGGAATCAGGGAATCCCGGACACCCTGGGATGGGAATTAATTTGGGAGCTGCTCCCAAGGGAATTAGGGCATCCTGGACACCCTGGGATGGGAATTAGCTTGGGAATTGGGGCATCTTAGAGCCCCTTGGATGGGAATTACCTCAGGATGTTCCCAAGGGAATTGGGGCATCTTGGACCCTCTTGGATGGGAATTAGCTCGGGATGCTCCCAAGGGAACAGGGGCATCCTGGACTCACTTGGGTGGGAATTAGCTCGGGATGTTCCCAAGGGAATCGGGGCATCCTGGACTCACTTGGATGGGAATTACCTCGGGAACTGAGGAATCTTGGACCCCCTCAGATGGGAATTACCTTGGGATGTTCCCAAGGGAATCGGGGAATCCTGGACACCCTGGGATGGGAATTACCTCGGGAATTGGGGCATCTTGGAGCCCCTTGGATGGGAATTACCTCGGGATGCTCCCAAGGCAATCGGGACACCCTGGAACCCCTCAGATGGGAATTACCTTGGGATGTTCCCAAGGGAATTGGGGAATCTTGGACCCCCTGGGCTGGGAATTACCTCCTGGATGTGCCGGACTTCGCTCTTGAGCTGCGTCACCTTCTCCTCGTGGTTTGTGCCGCCCTCACCTCGGGCCTTGAGATAAACCTGCCCAGAGAGGCCCAGACTAAGAGATAAACCCATCCCAAATCCATCCTGGGAATGGCACAAGGATCCCATCCCATCCCATCCCATCCCAAAGCACCTTCTCCGCATGTTTTCCTTCCGGATTTAAACATCCCTGGGGGTTTTAGGGCTGTCCCTCCTCCTCCTGTGTGACCCCCAAACTTCATTTTAAGCTTAAAGTTAAGCTTGATTTTAAAAGTTAAGCTTGGTTTTAGGCTCTCTCAAAGTCTTTTTCCAGGTTGTCCATCACGTGGGGTTTAGTTTGAATTTTAATTTAAAATTTTAATTTTAATTCAATTCCCAAAATCCACTCTCCATCCTCCCTAAATCCACTCTCCATCCCCCAAATCCACTCTCCATCCCTCCATCCCTCCAAATCCATTCTCCATCCTCCCTAAATCCACACTCCAGCCCCCCAAATCCACTCTCCATCCCCCCAATCCACACTCCACCCCCCAAATCCACTCTCCATCCCCCCAAATCCACTCTCCATCCCCCCAAATCCATTCTCCATCCCCCAAATCCACTCTCCATCCCCCAAATCCACTCTCCATACCCCAAACCCACTCTCCATACCCCAAACCCACTCTCCACCCCCAAATCCAGTCTCCATCCCCCCAAATCCTCCCAAATCCACACTCCATCCCCCCAATCCACACTCCACCCCTCAAATCCACTCTCCATCCCCCCAAATCCTCCCAAATCCACTCTCCATCCCCCTAAATCCACTCTCCACCCCCCAATTCCACACTCCATCCCCCCACCCTCTTCCACCACAACCCTTCTCCTTCCCACCCGACCCTGGGACCCTTTTTCCCGGCCCAAACCCCCCCTTTTCCAGCCCCAAACCTCTTCCCATCCCCATCCCCTCGGGATCCAGGGCCCTCACCTTGATGATCTCCTCGTCCCCCTCGTTGGACTTGACGCACTCCGAGGCCAGGGAGTGCCCGTTGCTGGACCTGTTGGCCACCATGGCAAAGGCTTTGCCCACCGGCTGCAAGGAGGAGGGAATTTCCCGATCAGCGAATTCCCAAAAATCCCGGGAATTCCGCCCCGGAGCCGGAATTTCACCCACCTTCTGCTTGGGCTGCTCGCGCCGCTCGCCCGGCAGCTCATGGGGCAGCGTCAGCCGCAGAACCTTCACGCTCTCCTGCAAGAGAAATTAGGATTTAATCCCACTTTAGGCTCGGTTCCAGGCTCAGCTTCGGCCTCCCCCAAGGTCTTTTGCCCGGTTTTGAATTTAAAGTTTAAATTTAAAGTGTAAATTGAAGTTTTGGGGCTCTCCCTGGAAGGTTTTGTCCGAGGTCGGCGTCGCTGTGGATGCAGGGACGAGGAGATCCCCCCTCACCTGGGATTAAAGGGGTGGGTCCTGCTGGGATTGAACAAGTAAATCCTGCTGGGATCAGAGGGAATATTGCTGGGATTAAAGGAGTGGATCCTGATGGAATTAAAGGAGTGGATCCTGCTGGGATTAAAGGAGTGGATCCTGATGGAATTAAACAAGCAGATCCTGCTGGAGTTAAACAAGCAAATCCTGCTGGGATCAGAGGGAATCCTGCTGGGGTTAAAGGTGTGGATCCTGCTGGGATCAGAGTGAATAGCTGGGATTAAAGGAGTGGGTCCTGCTGGGATTGAACAAGCAAATCCTGCTGGGATTGAACAAGCAAATCCTGCTGGGATCAGAGTGAATCCTGCTGGGATCAGAGTGAATCCTGCTGGGATTAAAGGAGTGGATCCTGCTGGGATTAAAGGAGTGGATCCAGGACAAGGCCACGGATCCAACCCCTCAGGACTGGGGGATCCACGGCCCAGCCAAGGCCGAGCTGATCCAAGGCCAGGCTGGACCTGTTCCCGTGGAACCAGGAGGGTTTTAAGGCCCTTCCAACCCAACCCATCCCACAATCCCACAATCCCAGGAGGTGTTCCACGATCCTAAGAGCTGCTCCACACCCGGGGGGGGGTTCAGGACCACCCTGGCACCCAAAAACGCTCCGGGGGGGGGGGTTTCCCAAAAAACCTCGACGTCCTTCTCCCGGACGGATCCTCAGGAAGGATCCCGAATCCCGGAGCTGCTCCGTGTCCCGTGGGCTCTCTGGATCCTCGGGAAGGATCCCGAATCTCGGAGCTGCTCCGTGTCCCGCGGGCTCTCCAGAGGCGGCTCCGTGGACGGATCCCTCCCTCGGGATCACGCCCAGGCCACGTCACCCTCCTCCCGAGGCCCCGGCGGGGTGTTCCCGCTTCCAAAGGTTCTCCAAGTCCCAACAAGCCGAGTTTGTTTCCCAAATACTCCGTTGTGAACTCCCACAAATCCTCGGGAATCCGCTCCCGCGGATCTCACGCCCACCCAGGGCCAGACCCCTCCAATCCCTGTGTTTGATCCCAGAAAAGCTCCGCTCGGGATCCGCTCCAACATCGGTTGTTTAACCGGATGCTCCCGGGGAGATTTTTCCCTCCAGGGAATGTTTTCCTCGGCGAAGTTTGGAATTTTTGGCCAGGAAGGCCAAGGAGCAGCCGGATTCAGCAGGCTCTGTGGGTTTGGGGGGGATTTTGGGGGGATATTTTGGGATTTAGGGAAGGAAAAGGGGCACAAGGCGCCGCTCATCTCCCTGCTGCCGGAATCCAACGGGATCCAGGGAAAGGCCTCCCCCACACAGCCTCACTCCCGGCTTTGTTTACAAGCACCAGGATCCTGCACATTCCCAATCCCATGGAGATGCCAAGGAATCCTCTCTCCCAGGGGAAGATTCACCCGGATAAGGAACAAGTGCCAAGTGATTCCCATCTCTGCAGCCAAAACTTCCCGGCACGTGGGCGCTTCCCATCCCAAAAAAACACCAAACCTGCTCCTGGATAAACCCACCACGGAGCCCAGCACTAAACCAGCACTAAACTAGCACTAAACTAGCACTAAACCAGTGCTAAACCAGCACTAAACCAGCGCTAAACCAGCGCTAAACCAGCGCTAAATCAGCACTAAACCAGTGCTATAACAAGCATTAAACCAGTGCTTAACCAGCCCTAAACCAGTGCTAAACCAGTGCTAAACCAGCACTGAATCGGCGCTAAACCAGTGCTAAACCAGTACTAAACTAGCACTAAACCAGCGCTAAATCAGCGCTAAACCAGTGCTAAACCAGCGCTAAACCAGTGCTAAACCAGCGCTAAACCAGCGCTAAATCAGCACTAAACCAGTGCTATAACAAGCATTAAACCAGTGCTTAACCAGCCCTAAACCAGTGCTAAACCAGTGCTAAACCAGCACTGAATCGGCGCTAAACCAGTGCTAAACCAGTACTAAACTAGCACTAAACCAGCGCTAAATCAGCGCTAAACCAGTGCTAAACCAGCGCTAAACCAGCGCTAAACCAGCGCTAAACCAGCGCT